GTGATGGAGCTTGTGGTATAAAAATAACTCTAATCTTTGGTGGTAAAGTATTAATATTACGAAAACTTGCAAGGCCAGCACTTGGCAAACCACCATAATTTAAAGTTGTAGGGTATCCATAGATATCACTAGTTACAAAATCTTCGATACCCTCATTTCCATAAACTGGATAGGGAAAATATCGTATCTCTCTTTCATATTGAATTCCAAGAGGTTTATTGTAGGCTATAGGAATAGTTTCTGCAGATGTAGTTAAAAAGGAAGCATTATCTAAATGTCTCCCGTGAGGTTTGTATGTATTATTGATATAAGGCCAAGTGTGTTGAGATTGGTATCGATCATATAATAGATTCGGACGTATTAATGATGTACTATTTACATCAGGTTGTCGATAGTGATTGTATCTATTGTTTGTATATCTAGTATTTGGAATGTAAGGTGTTTGATAGTATGATTGAGTTGGATTGAAAGATGAGTAAAATGATCGTTGTCCAATAAACTCTTTATCATTGTAATGATTTTTGTTTTGTTTAGAAAAATCAGGATAAGCTTGCGAAGAATATTTATTATAACTAGATGGAATAAATCTTGACATATTTTTGATTATTTGTATGCTATTGTAATTTCAATTATTATTTTAATATTGTTGAACAAATAAATTGAGAAATGTGAAATAACAAAATTCAGCCATTAAAAATCAATACCATCAATAATCGCAGCTGGTATTAGCAGCGTTACGATATATCTGTATTCGAGTGTAATATCAACCTTGCGAAAATATATGCATATTTATATGTATTTAAGATTTATGAGTCATATAAAAAAAATTTCCTTGAGAAAAAGATTGTCGGTTATTTTCCTAATTGTTATCAATATATATTATATATCTTACCATTTAATCGAAGGATATTACACGAGACAAGTACCTTGAAGATCGTGTACATCACAAAAAATAAAAAAAAGAATCATTGAAACAAGAAAAAAATATCTTCATTCAAGGATATCTTCTATAGTATTTATCAGTCATAACAATCAATAACTGATATAAGTAGTAAAAATAAGATTATACATATTATATAATAAATGAATGAAGAAAAGAAATCACCTATACGCTAGTCTACAAATAGACACGTAGTCAACATTACGTGTTTAAATAAGCATGACTGAGTTTTTTTGTCCTTTACATCAATAGGATAAACGAGGTCTCGAAAATAAAAACATTTTATTATGACGGACATCAATAAGAATATGTAAATTACTCTGACAAATTGATCTGCCCATTTACATATATGATAGTTTTGCACTTCATTATTTAGAAATATTAACTTTAATCATGTTATAATGCATGATTAGTTAACATATTGTATTGATTATTAGATAAAGAAAAAAATAATGATTACAAATTATTTATTTATTTATTCAAACTTTCAACATAATTTATGGTATTAGTATCAATACTAAATGAAAATCAACATTATAACTATATATAATTAGAATGTTATGTATTATATGTATGATACCTAAGATGTTCTTTTCAATGTCATAGCATACGAAATTCTTTTTCGAAATAATGAATAATTGACTTTTTCATAGATGAATTCGTAATCTGTATTACATACAATCATTTCGATCATCGTTAAATAGATGATCTTTTTCTCTTTTGCATTCATTCACTCCTTCTTCTCCTTCTTTTGCGGTATTCGTTGTCAATTCTTCTTATGTGATATATGTAGGCTGGACATCGAAACTTCTTTGCCTTTCTCTATAATTAACATTGAGTGTAAAATAAACAATCACATATATACCAACATATACACACACACACGCACATACATACACACAAAAGAAAAGAAAAAGACAAAGAGATAGGTGAACGGAGTATACGAGTATACACAAAAATCAATTCGATCAATTGTATTCATATATATAACAAATTGATTAAACTATAGTTGTCATCACTTTCTTTTCTTTTAATAATCATCAATTGAACACTTTATAAGTATGTCAATAAAAAAATCTATTTTCATACGCATCATCCTTATATATATACATACAGGTATGTTTTTATTAAATTTAAGTTCAATTAATCTACTTCTTCTTTTGTTTAGATTTACTTTATGGTCAACATCATACAAATGAAATATCATCACCCTCACAAGAAGATAGTGTAAAGGATCTATCGAATAATACTTCAGATATTTCTCAATCCGAACTATTTTTATCAGAAATAAGAGAAATTTTAAATAATGCAAATATTTCCGCAGAATTAATTCCTACAACTGAAAAAACTATTTCTCATGATAATAGTACTCAAATACTTAATGATATTTCATTATTATCTACAGAAAATGAATATAATAATTTTAATTATCGTGAACCAACTCCACCACATGAACAAATTAATAAAACAACTGATATTTTCACAATGAATAATTCAACAAGTACAACATTTCTTGAAAATCATGTTCAATTCGATATGAATTCATCAAATTTAACTCATTCATTTCGAAAAAATTTTATAAAAAATAAACCATATGATACTCATAATACAACTTTGGAAGAAGAAGCAGAAGAAGCAGCTCAACGTGTAACTGATCGAAAAATAATGCAATCACTTATTCATTTAATACCACCAAATTTATGGTCACAAATACAAAATAACCGATCATTTTTTCACCAAAATCATACTCAATATCCAAAACCATCATTACCTAATCCTGTTATACTTGCAGAAGCAGCTGCTCAAGCAGGTTTACCTGGTCCAGGACCATATCCTATACCAGAACATTTATGGCCTCGAAATCCTCCTCAGATAATTACAAGACCAACAATAACTTGTAAGTTTAATAATAAAAAAAACACTATTCAAAAATAAACCTTTATCTTTTAGCAACATTTTCAACAACTTTACGACCTAGACCATATATACCTATAAAACAAGCTGTATCATTACCATCCAATGATAACAACAAGCATTCATTATTTAGTCAAATAGGTTTTACTTGTCCATTAGGTGCTAGTGATATTCGTTATCCAGATAAACGATTATGTAATATGTATTTTACTTGTACACCATCAGGTTTACCTGAACCAAATCTTTGTGCAGAAGGTTATCTTTTTTCTGAGTTAACTCGTGATTGTGAAATAGTATCACGTGTCAATTGTGGACAACGTTTATCCGCATTTTTTGAAATTGAAGAAACAAAATTAATTTCAACTACAACATCAAAATCAAAATTTAATTTAAATATTGTTAATGCTACAATTGAATGTATTCTTGGTGCTGATGGTTATTTTGAAGATCCATTATATTGTAATATATATCATCATTGTATAGCTGGAGTTGATTATATTGAACCTTGTCCTAATCAATTAGCTTGGAATGAAAAACAAAAAATGTGTGATTGGTAATTGTTTTTTTAATTTGAAATTCTTTTCAATTTCAATTAATATTATTTTAGGGCAACAAATGTTAATTGTACAGGTAAAACAATGCCTGTTGTACAAAGTAAAACATCATTTTGTACAAATCGACAAGATGGTCGTTATTCATCTGAAACATATTGTAATGTATTTCATCATTGTATTGGTGGAACAGATAATATTGTACGATGTACAGGTGAATTACAATGGGATGATATAAGAAAAGAATGTGGATGGTATTCATCTGTACGATGTGGTCCACCAAAAAAAATGTTACCAAATGAAAATAAAGTTAATTCAACATTTTGTACAGGAAAAGCTGATGGGTATGAAATATTTTAATTAGAACTTTTTAGTTAATGAAAAAGAGAGAGAGAGAGAGTAAAGGTTGTATTTTTAGAAGGAATTAATGAGGTATTTAGATATATGATTTCGTGATTCAATTGTCATCTTATTAACATAATTTATATAATCTTCTTGAATGTCAGAAGAGATTAGCTTTTAACAATTGACTCTTTTTTTCTGACAAGGTTAAAAGAATTATCAATGAATAATCTAGTTCAATTAATTCTGGACTTAACGATTTGTATTGATTGATAAGATGAATCACATAAAACTTTTTCAGCATTTTATTTTTTTTTAAATTATGAAAAAAAATATTAACTGAAATTCTTCTATTCTAATAGATCATATTCACATGAAGAATATTGTAATGTGTATCATGTATGTGAATCTGGTGCCGATAATATGCGTCAATGTCCTAATCAATTATTTTGGGATAATAATCAACAAAAATGTGAATGGTCAGATAAAGTTCATTGTTCCGGACGTACTCTTGTTGCTATTTCAATGGAATCAAGTGCATTTTGTATGGAAAAAACCGAAGGATTTTATATTGATCCAAATTGTAAGTTTAATTTATTCTTAAATAATACCTATGAAATTCTTCATCATATAAATTATTCTAGATTGCAATGTTTATCATCAATGTATGGGTGATATTGATCTTAAATTACAATGTCCTGAACGATTAGTATTTAATACAACATTAAAACGATGTGATTGGCCTGAAACAACAAGTTGTAAAAGTGGAAATATATTAATCGAAAAGAGTGATAATAGTAACAAGGGATATTGTGCAGATAAAGTAAATAGAAATAAACAAAGTAAAATAATAGATAGAATTCGAATCTTTTTATTTTAGTCAAATGGAAATTATGCTCATGAACAATATTGTAATCGTTATTATATATGTCAAAATGGAAAAGATGTTGTATTTACATGTCAAAATAATTTAAGATATTCAATAGAAAAAAATGAATGTGATTGGGCTGTTAATGTTGATTGTAAAGGCAAAGCCGATTATATGTGGGAAGGTATAAAAGAAAGTTTCTGTAAACGTTTAGTATGTATCAAAAAATAAATAAATTGAATTTTACATTAATTTTTCTAATAAAAATATATTTATATAGCCTGATGGAAATTATGCAGATCTTAAATATTGTAATACATTTCATCAGTGTCAAGCAGCTATGGATTATCCAAAACGATGTCCAAATCGACTTATGTTTAATGATGAAACAAAAGAATGTGATTGGGAAGATAATGTTAATTGTAAAGGTCGAGAAAAATTAATAGATACAGAAGGACTTGATGATTCAGTTCGGCCAGGATCAAATAATACTCGAGGTCGTTCAACAAAGTTTTGTATGGTTAAACAAAATGGAGATTATGCGGATTTATATTATTGCAATGTTTATCATAATTGTCATGGAGGTTTTGATACTATTCAATATTGTACACATGGTTTAGTAAGTTATAGACTTCAGAATTTATCTCTTTTTATTAAATACTTTTTTTTAGGTATGGAATCAAGAAAGTGAATCAATAGGTAAATGTGATTGGTCTAAAGATCGATCGCCGGATGGAGTAGATTGTAATGGAAAAGTTTTGTAAGTTGAATAAACAGATTTGGAAGTGAATTCTATTCTTTTTTTCAAAAGATTTTTTGCTGAAAAATTAGGTGAAACTGATATTCTATCAAATTTACGTTCAGAATTTTGTATAAGTAAAGGTCCGGGTCTTTATGAACATCAACGATATTGTGATTTATATTTACAATGTAATGAACAAGGCGTTGGTATAACTATGGAATGTAGTCGTATGTATTTTATATTTTTTTGCAAACGAAGAAAATGCCTTTATTTCCTTTTCTTTTCAAAGCTGGTCTTGTATTTAATGAACACAAAAAAGAATGTGATTATCAAGGAGATAGAAATGATGCTAAAGGAACACTTTGTTTACAACCACGGAGTTTTCTTCGATCAAAACCAAAAGCTGAACAAGCTTCTATTTTATTCGAAGGTGCTGATGCTACTGGACAATTTCCGTAAGAATATTTTTTTGTTCTCTATTCATATTTATTTTTCAAAAATTTAGAACACGTTTCGATTGTATAAATAAAAATCAACAAAATATGTTTGCTGATATAGATTGGTGTAATATTTATCATGTATGTGTTGGAAATCGAGATAATATATTTTTATGTCCACCTGGTACAATATTTAATGATACAGAACAAGGTTGTATGAATCGATTTGATGGAACTAATTGTAATGGTACACGTTCTTATTATAAACCATCAATGAAACGACAAAAACGTCATGATATACCAAATCTATCAGATAAAATTCAATCATTTAATTATTTAAAACAATTACCAAAAAGTGATAATAATCAACCAATTCCATATGAATCGAAAAAATTATATGAATCAAAACAGGTATTTAGTTTTAAACAAATGAAAAAAATATTTATCTTGATTTTTTTTCAGTTCAATCGAAATGCTGCTATCGAATGGCAACAACATCATCGTCATAATAGAAAAATTCTTTAAAAACATGAGTCTCGTTTTAATAAAATAATATTCTTATTCTTTCTTTTGCTTTCGTAGTTCTTTCGTTTCTTATTTCATCACTTATATGTGAATAAACCAAAACAGTTTTTTTTTGTTTTTTTTGTGCTTTATTTCAATTAGTTAAAAATAAAAAGGAGAACAAATATACTAATAATTATTCAAAAGTTTTTATGTTTTTCTAAATATTCAAACATTCGTTGAACAAGTCCATCAAGATCAACTTTGGGATTCCATTTCCAATGTTCACGAGCATTATGATCATCAAAAACTTCTGGCCATGAATCAGCTATATAAAATAAAAACAAAAAAGTTTCTTTTATGAAAATAAAAAAAAAGCCAATATTTTTACCAATTTTTTGACGATCATCAGGTTGATATGAAATTTTAAAATTCGGTTTATATTTTTGTATAGCTTTTGTTAATTCATCTGGTGTAAAACTCATTGCAGAAACATTATATGTTCGTTGTTTTAATTTACTATCTGGTGCTTCCATTATATCAACAATGGATTGAATACAATCATCAATCCACATCATTGGTAAACGTGTATTACCACGTAAATAACATTTATATGAACCAGCTTTTAAAGCTTCATGAAATATTTCAATAGCATAATCTTTAGAAGAAAAAAAAATTAAATAAAAATAGGAAAATTTTGAGATTTCAACAAACCTGTTGTACCACCACCGGGTTTTGTATCAGCTGATATAATACCTGGAAAACGTAAACATCGAAAATCGACACCATATCGATGAAAAAAATATTCGCCTAATAATTCTGCATGTACTTTCGAAACACCATAAATTGTTCGAGGACGTTGAATACAAAAATCGGGTGTTGGATTTCGTGGAGATTCAGGTCCGAATGCACCTTGAAAAAAGAAAAGAATTCAATGATATTTTATAACATTAAAATAATGTTCGAAAATCACAAACCAATGGTACTTGGAATAAATAATCTACATTTATATTTTCGTGCTAATTCAAGAATATTATGAGTACCCTCAATATTTAATTTCATTGCTAATGGAACATCTCTTTCACCTAAACGAAACAAATAAAGAAATATTTATTTCTTTTTTCAAACAATAATATCATACCAACAGCACTCAATAAAGCACTGAGATGAATAAGCCAATCAATTTGATTATTAACTAAGAGTTCTTGTATTTGTTTAATATCCATAACATCAGCATATCGATATGTTCCTTTAAACAATTTCTTTTCAATACATTCAAAAGTAATGAAATAACATCATACCTTGTCGAAGTAACTCATCTGAAGGACGAACAATATCGGATAGAACAACATTTTCAGTACCATATAATTGTCTATACAATTCATAGAAAATATTTTTAAAAAAATTATATTAATCTTTTACCGTAATCGTTTAGCTAATGGTACTCCTAATTGTCCACATCCACCTGAAATAAAATTTTGTAAAAATGAATTTTAATTTCATATTAACCTGTTATTAATATTCGTGGATGTGCTTTATCATGAAGTTGTCGTCGATGAATCGTTAAAGCAAATTGTCGAATTAATGATTTCGAAAACATGATGAAAAATTTTACTGTAACGTGACAATTGCTTATACTTTCTATTTAAATAGTTCACAAATGCCATTCTGTATCTTAACTTTCGTTTTATTATTTTAACCGATTAAGTGGTTTGAAGTATCAAACTGATTTTATTATTCCTATTGTTTATCTTTGAAAAATGCAACCACATGAATTTAACATTGTAAAAAAGGAACTGAAACAATATAGTTATTTATATATATACAAACATAATGACATATAGAAGAAAAATAACTGTGCCCTTAAAACCCTTTAGTCAAACTTTTTTTTCGCGTGCAATTAAAAATTTCTTCTTATGAAAATATTGATAAACGTTCCTTTGCGATGACGTATTCATCACAGACAATCAGAAAAGGATAAATTTTCTAGGGAGAATTTATATACTTAGATTGCAAGTATAGGTAACAAGTTTTTTTCGAGATCGATAATATTTTTACTAATGAAACAAGAAAAGAAAATTGCTTGAAAATGATAAAGTAACTACAACGAAAAAAGAAAACTTTTCAAAATATTAATTGATTGAAAACGCAATGTAAATAATGGTGTCTCTATACAACACACGGTTATAGATAAGTAAATATATACCATTGATTCGTCGAATTTATTTTTTATAAGAAATTTCAATTATAATATCAATCATTTGCAATTCTTATAGAAGTTTACTTTACAATAATTTATTGCAGAGCATAAGCATTAAAACCGAAGTATTATGAAGTTAAAAATTGGGTTGACTATTCAAGGATAGTCTCGATATCGAAATTTAGAACCTATGACATGCATATATGGTGAATATTTCGATAGTTTATTTTAATACTGAATCAAACTTTGTGTTTGTAGAATTATAAGTATGATCGCAAGTTTTAACTTTTCCAACAAAATTCATATCTGTATCAGATCTTTTTTATGTCGAGGTTGAGTATTATGCAAAGATTGTTTTCAAATACTGCCCACGGAAAGAGAATAACTTTCGATAGAAACAAGATCGGGAGCTGCAGTTTTCATCGTTGAAGACGTATCGAAACTTATATGAAAAGATTTTTCTAACTATTTTCTCAAGAGTTATAATCAGACATTTTTAATAAATTGATATACTGTCAATGGAGAATACTCTTTTTCTCAAAGCTTTATACAACAATCTAAGAAAAAAAGTTAGAGAAATCTTTCATGTCATAATCTTGTATTTACAAAATTATGAATATATTTGAAATTTTTTTAACAAAGACTATCTACTTGATTAAAAATTTGAACAAGTCATATTGACTTTATCCGTCTATAGATTCAAATCAATTTTACATAGTATTATTTTTTTATAATAAAAATTGGCAAGTTCTTTTTATTTGATCGATTACTAAACTTCATATAAAAACTCAATAAAGTGTTCAATATTAAAAAATATATTTCGAATGTCAAGTTGTTTTTTTGACATATTGATTATTAATATGTACTGATCACAATACACACAACGAATTGAAATCAAAGATATTATTTTGAAATAAATATCCTTGTATCATATGATTTATTCATAAAATCTTATTATAAATACGTCAAATCGTGGAAGTATCATTAAATTAAACTTAATGTATATCGACGAATAATGAACTTTATTATTCGTGTTGGTTCTCTTCTTTTTGATGCATATGAGAAATAGAATGAAATAACAATCAACGGTCTTCACGTTACATACATAGTACGCATAGGGAAGATTTGCATGAATAGAAAAAAGAAAAGAAAAAAAAGAAAATGAACAAATAACAACAAATCATTTTGCCGTCGTTAAATGGCAGGTGTAGAAGTTACAAATAATTTTATGAAATAATATATATATATTCATAAAATTTGTTTTCTAAACATATATGCTACAAAATATGTTAACGTCTAAATTGTCACGACTAGATTTAACAAATAAAGAATATCGAGCACCACGTTTAGCATTCATCAAATATTATTGATCAGCATTTTGATGTTACAACTGCAAGTAATACGGTGATATCATCAGGTTTTCCACCTAAAAATAAAAATAAATTCAAGTACGTTTTTTTGACTTCATTATTTATTCTCTAAATATAACCTTTTTTTAAATATCATACATAAGATAAATAAATATGAATTTAAAGTTTGCTGGATAAGCAAAAAAGAATTAGTATAAAGTGAATTTTGAATACACAATTACATTAAGACAGATTTTTTGTTTCAGAAAGATAATTTATCCTATACTATTTTTTAAATAAATTTATACGTACCACAAATATTGATGCCCAATGATCGTTTAGCATTTTTAGCGAATGGCGAATAAAAATTTGGATCATGTCCATTGTCTAATGCACGTTTAGCTAAAGCATGTGCTATTAGTTGTAAATTATCTAATGTTGGCTCCTAGAACAAAAATAATTCTTTTTTTGTAAATCATTCTTGATACATTTGTTGTATATTCTTTCTAGACTATAGTAATGCTCTTATGAATTAATCAAGAAAAAGAATGGAATAAGTTCTATGTAATCATAAATGAATGAATGACAGAGATGAATTATATGTCTTCTTTTTTGATCTATTAACAACAAAACAGCGTCTCAGACAGTATACTAAACAGAACATTTATAATGTCAATACACATTACTTATGAATATAAACATTGTACCAATGTTTGGCAGTGGTTTATTCTCATATACTTTTCTTAGGAATATTACTCATTGATATAAGATTAATTAGCAAAGAAGTGAAATCTAATCGAAATTAATTATTTGATAATATTCTATTCTATTGAAATTTATATGAAAGATAAGTTAGACAAACGAAGTAATAATGTTAAAAAAGAGAAAAGATAAGATAAACATACTGTAATTTTTTTAACTTCTTCAAGTATAGTTGAATCTGGTACATTATCCCATAGACCATCAGTAGCAATAAGAATACAATCATTTTCTTCAACATTAAATGATGTAATTGATGCTGAATCAGGACTAAAATAAAATAAAGATTAATGATTTTTTTTTCTTTCTATTGAAATCATAATATTATTCTTACCTATCAGCAATTAAACGTTGATCTTTTATTGCTGGATGAATAGCTAATTGAAAAGGTGAGTTAAAATAATGTTGTTGTTCTTGTGATCGATGTACTATGATATTTTTTCTTATAATAACAAATCCACTATCACCTAGATTTGCTGTATGTAAAATACTTTTTTCTTTATGTAATGCCACAATGCATGCAGTACTACTACCTAAATATTAATAAATTATTAATAAGAATTCTATTTCTTTTCTTGTTTTTTTACCAACGATACATTGTTTATTTTCTAATAATTGTTGATAACCTTTTGAAAGTAATTCTTTTAATGTTACAGGATTTAAATCAATAAGTTTATTATCAACAAGAGATTTGCATGCTTCCATTAATGAACTTGAAAATAAAGAAGGATCAATACCATGTTCACGCCAACCACCAACACCATCAGCAACACCTTTATTTTAAAAAATAAAATTTATTTATTGATAGAGCAAAATAAATCATACCAAGAAAATCTCCTAGTCGATTTTTAGCTACAAAATATGCATCATCACCATTAACATTTGGACGGTTTGATCTTGGTATTTTTGTTGAATTCTTTTTTTTTCTCAAATGTCCTTTATCATCTTCATCATCATCATGACCTGAATAACCTGATGTAGCAGTGACGAGATGTACCGCACGTGTTATTGCTGGTGATGATGGTATAGCAAGACGGCTTGAAGACTGTGAATTATGTACAGATGATGATGTTGATAATCGTAGTAAACTATTATATAAAAAATTTTCAGCTTCTGTACCACTAACAGCGCGTGCAACTAATCGAGCACATATCGCTAATGATTGCATGTTGGTTATTTTATCTAAAATTAATTTGAAAGAAATATAAAAATTTTTTTGTATAAAAAAACATATTCAACTGAACGAACTTTGAAAGAAATTTTGACATCGGTAGTTGACTAACTAGAAAGAAAAAAGAAAAGAAATAAATTTCTTATAATTTATTACATATATCACTCGAGAAAAAAATGACATTACAATGTTTTTTCTTTAACTGTTCTTTCACTCTTTCCTCTTTTCGTTTTTTCGTTACTTGATTTTAATTTATGCATTTTTAGTGTTCTATATTGATTTAGTTCTCAACAGAACTATTCGATGTAGGAAAAAAAAAGGATTCGTTATTGGTCATAGATACAGTATTCATTGAACATAAAAAGAAATGAAATTTAATAACTAAACGGAATGTTGGTTTAGTGCACCTGAGGGCTTCAAACTGCTCGATAATGTAGACAACTTTTTATATACGTGAGAAACAGAAACACGACACAATATAATGCACTGAATACAATTCAACTTATTTAAAAAGTAACACATTTATTACCTCAAATTTCGAGTTCTTATTTATTCACAGTTAGATATCTCGTTAATATGTACATACTTCAGTATACTAGATGAATATGATGGCAAAAGAACAACTAAGAATAGAGTAAATAAATGTAGGTCATTGACAAACATGCTGACACAATTGCATTTATCTCTATTTTATGTTTTCTTCCAAAATGTATATATATATATTTCATCTTCCATCATGTAAGCATCCGAATCATTTTGTATGTACTTAAATGTGTCATAAAAATGTCTAATAACTGATGTTATGATCGAGTCTATTTTTTATATTGATTTTTTTCTCTCCTAACTAATTGATTACTAATAAACTAGTGCATATGATTGTAAAAAACGATTGATTGAAATAAATAAAAAAACAAATAAATACTGACCTGAAGACTTGACGATTGACTAGGTAATGATTACACCAATTAGCAAGAAATCTATATGTAATCAATGGATGATATTCACAGACAAACAGATCTAGAATAATAATAAATAAATTTTACTTTTACGTATTTTATTATTTCAAATAACAATAGTTTTATGTTCAAGATTATTATGACCTTCTTTGCAATTCTAACACATATTGTTGATTGATAGAAGAAAATCATACTTGACACAACATCCTTACTGTTACCACTACATTTGCATAGTTTGCCTTATCACATATAAACTATAAACGTCTTCTCCCTTTTTTCTTCTTCTTCTTCTTCTATTCACAAAACAATTACGCGGCTGTTATCATCATCATTCATAAAATATATAGTAATGTATACTCAAAATAAGCAAATAATCCTGAATGATGAACGAAAAAGAAAGGCTTTATTTATTGTTGGTTCGAATCAATAAGTTAAACTTGTTTACCTCATGACTAATAACCAATAGAGTTACATAGACAATATAAAACGATAGAAAATATAAAAAATCTAATAACTTACATGTCAAAATGTGTCATATACGAAGAAATAAATAAAACTAATGTTCAAAAAACGAGCTAAGAAGAAAAGAGTTTTTCTTTAGAATATACATGCCTACGCACACCCTTTTACATAATAACGCGAGGGAGTGTTACTAGCCAGAAACGACGAAAAAAAAAGAAGATTGTCTGATTTATCGACTCGGTCGAGAGAAAGAACGGAAAAGAAAAAGAAAAAGAAATGCACTACGCGAAGAAGAGAAAAAGAAAAACAGCGAGCACATGACTATAGGGCAAAGTACAGTATATGTTCGTCAGTAGAACAGGAAAAAAAGAAAAGAAAAGAACGAGCATCTCATCATTATCAATTGGATTATAATAGAAATAAATTTCTGGTCAATAACCTACCAATGAAAAAATATCTAAATTAATTTCATTTTTGATGGTTTTTTTATTTGTCTAAGTTAAATAAGAAACAAACAAACAAACAAAAAAAACCCAAAACAAGTTTAAACTGTGTAACAACATACACATATAACAAGTAAAAAGAAAGAAGACTATGAAAAAAGAAGCACGGAGGGAATGTTATGATATGAGTGTATGCGGTTCGTTTCCGTGGTTTTGTTTTTTACAATAATAAATAATTAATTATAAGTCAACTTTTTCCTTCTTAACGTCAACATCATCGTCATCATCCATATTGACATCACTAAGATCAATATCTTCAACGACATCTATTTTGCCATCTTTACCATCCCAAGGTTCACTATCAACAATTGTTGGTAATTTTCCATCGGCAACATTACTTAATGGTACAAGTGGACTTGTTAAACGACCTGTTGATAATTCTCTTAAGAATGCGCTAATACCAGTTTCACTAAATGAACCTTTTAATACGACATATTTTCCTTTACGTGTATTAATTGCAACTTGTGCTGGATAACCAAAACCACCAACACCAACACTTTCTTCAAGATTTAATTGACGAAATCCTTCAACCCATAACCAACCCCAACCATTACGTTTATAACTTTCACCAAATTTTTTTAACATAGCTATATGTTTATTACGACAAGCTGATTGACAATCGAGTATATGTGGCAAAAATGATACTATACATAATTGTTTTTCAGCACAGTTGCTTTCTAAAACAGCTTGACTAGTAATTTCAACTACTTCAGGTGGAGGAATATTTGCCTGATGTTTATCTAAACACCATGCGACAATATCCTATTGAATAGAAAAAAAAGAAATCAATCAATAGATTATATTTTCGTTTATAGAAATCAATGCATACACTTGAACTACGTCCTCCATTATATTCTTCAGCTTGACCATCTTTTTTGCCAGCTAGGAAGAATTTGATTGTTGGAAAACCTTGTATACCATATCGTTGAGCTATTTGTGTATGAACAGTTGCATCTACAACACCTAATTTAAATTTGCCTTTTAATTCTGTTGCAGCACGAGCCCATTCAGGTACTAAATTTTTGCAATCTATAGAAGAATATATGAAAAATAAAACATCATAGTCACGAATAAATGTACTTACGACCACACCATGGAGCCACTAAAAAAGAAAAAAAAAGATGATATTTAATTATGTGAAGAAATTACAAAACACACATACATTCTTTTTACTAAGTGCTTTGACCTCACTGTGCTCAAGAATAGAAATAAACGTGTTGAGTTGTCTGTATGTGAAATTTTATAGGTTCATCTATTGCTAATTAACATAATACGTAGATTTTTTCAATATCATTGAACTTATCCTTACTAAGCTCGTATCCTACTAACAATAGTGATTGTCTTCCTTAATTTGAATTGAAATGAATAAATTTTATTGATGTGGATATCTAAATTAGCTCACCCTTCTATTGTAACTATCAGAGATGATAGTATTTTTCTGAATTTTTAGAAGGTAAACATGTAATATAGACGAGAGTTTAATTATACTATTCAAACTCAGTTCTACTGTCTGTTTGATAATACCCATCATTTTTTGGTGGAATTAAGTATGAATCTCTATTATTTTTCAAATATATTCTAATAAAAAAAAATGTAGTGTATCAACTTTGCAAGACACCTTGTGCTTAACTCTAGCAGCTTAATTTTCGATTTTTACAATGTTAGATAGAAAATAATTCGAAGAATTTTAAATTAAAATACTTACTAAATTCAACAAGCCATGGTTCTTCTGAATCGAGAACAGTAGACTAAAAAAATAATTAATATATATTAAAACTATTTTTTAATAGAATTAAGTTAACCTACTTGAAAGTTACTATCTGTTATTTCAATTGCATCATTGCCACCACTACCACCACTTCCACCACTGCTTCCTCCGCTTCCTCCTCGTTTACCTAAGCGTTCATTAGCAATAGTTTTCAATTGATTAAGAGCTTCTCCAACAATAGCATCTGCTGTTCGTCCACCTTGATAATTAGTTGGTGATCCTTTATTTGCTCCAAATACTTTAATTGTTGGAAAACCAGATACACCGTATTGTGATCCAAGGGATTTATGTGTATCAGCATCAACAGCACCAATTTTAACAATACCTTTTAATGCTGTTGCAGCACGTTTCCATTCGGGTACCAAATTTTTACAATCTATTAATATAGAATTAAATTAAAACAATAACTATTAGTTAATAGATACATACGACCACACCATGATGCATAGAATTCAATTATCCATACATCGGAACTTTGTGTAACAAGACGATCAAAATTCGATGGATCAAGTTGAATAACATCATCACTTGAACTATAAAATCCATTGACAGCCACAATGAAACCAAATGCAAATAGCACTACAGACGAGAACATGTTCGAAGTAATCTTCATATGTATGTTAACAGATGTATAGCTAAGGACGAAATGTAATCTTTTCGACGGACAACGGTATTTTATTTGTTCTACCGTAGTTGCAGTATACTTTTTCCCCAATCACGATACAGCGCGTTTGATCGATGTGATGGTCCAATAAAAAATTGTGTTAAGACCTTTTTTATGACTTTATTGGAAAATTCAAGATTTTTTTTCTTTTAGAATATCTATTGATTTTAATTACAATAATATAGTTTAAATAAAATTGTCATTATTTATACATTAATCATAGCGCTCTTTCTGATTGGTTAGAAAGTTTTACGCCAGCTCATAACCATACAATTTGATTTACTTCCCGTAATTTACCTTTTTTATTTCATAAAACTTTGAAATAAAAAATGAACAAAACCGCAACTTTATGTACTTCTTTGATTTCATCTATTGCTCCAAAATATATTCGTTATGCATCAACTGGATCTGGAGTAACACATGCTGTATATAAAATTTAATTTATCAAAATCTTTAAATTGAATTTTTCTTTTAATTTTTGTTCAATAGAAAAAAGTTGCTGTATTAGGTGCTAGTGGTGGTATTGGACAACCTCTTTCTTTATTACTTAAACTAAGTCCATTGATTAGTGATCTATCTCTTTATGATATTCAACATACAAAAGGTGTTGGAGCTGATTTAAGTCATATTGAAACACGTTCTAAAGTTAAAGCTTATGTTGGCAAAGATGAATTAGCTGATGCTTTAAAAGGCATGGATCTTGTCGTTATTCCAGCTGGTGTACCGAGAAAACCTGGTAGATATTTTTCTTGAATTAATAAAACAAAAATCAATCAAAATTTTATTTGTTAATGAAAGGAATGACACGAGATGATTTATTTAATACAAATGCAACAATAGTTGCGGATCTTGTTTCAGCATGTGCAAAAAATTGTCCACGAGCAATTATTGCAATCATTGCTAATCCAGTTAATTCAACAGTTCCTATTGCTAGTGAAATTATGAAAGCACATAATGTTTATGATGAAAAAAAAATTGTCGGTGTTACAACATTAGATGTTGTTCGAGCTGCAACATTTGTTGCTGAAGCTAAAGTTTGTTGAAAAAAGGAATTTTGTATATTATTTATCCATTATTATTATTATTATTCAAGGGACTTGATCCAACACGTGTATTTGTACCTGTTATTGGTGGTCATTCAGGAAATACAATTATTCCATTATTATCTCAAGTTTCACCACCAGTCTCATTTTCTCAACAAGAATTAGATAGTTTAACTACTCGCATTCAAAATGCTGGAACAGAAGTTGTTGATGCAAAAGCTGGAGCTGGTAGTGCAACATTATCAATGGCACATGCTGGTGCAAGATTCTCATTTTCAATTCTCGAAGCATTAAATGGTAAAGAAGGTGTTGTCGAATGTGGTTTTATAGCATCACAAGAAACTGAATTTAAATATTTTGCTACACCACTTCTTTTCAGCGTATGTTTAAATTCTCTTTTCTCTATATATATTTTATTGATAATCTTATTTATATATTTAGCGTAATGGTGTCGAAAAAAGTATGGGTGTTGGAAAATTATCTGAATATGAAACAAAATTAATTGAAAAAGCTAAAAAAGAACTTAATGGAAATATTCAAAATGGAATTGAATTTGCTAAACAATATTTAGCTAAATCAAAATAATATATCTATGTGTTTGTTTTTTTTCTAGTTTATGACAGTTTTTTAAAACATTTGTCTTTCTTCCAAAATTTGATAAAAATAAGAAATGCATTTATTTCAGATAAATTCAAAAAAGGAAGAAAACAACTAGAAATGACACGTTTAAATGTTGATCAAATGACTCGATATGTTAGTCCAGTTAATCCAACGGCTTTTCCAACACTTAGTATATCACTTTTAGGTAATTAAAAAATATTTAAAATAATTTGTTTTTTGATTAAATTCTTTTTTTCTAGGTATTGGACTTTTTTTAATGGCATGGTTTTTTGTCTATGAAGTAACGAGTACAAAATATACACGTGATTGGAAAAAAGAACTTCTTATTGCACTGTAAGAATTCTTTTATTATGAATATTAATTCTCGAATTTATTTTCGTTTTTTTTAGTGTTGCATCATTTTTTCTTGGTTATGGTGGTTTATTTCTTCTTCTTTGGGTGGGAATTTATGTTTAAAAGATTTTTAAATCTCATTCTTCTTATTTGTTGTTTTGAGATCATTGATAAATCAGTTCTTTTTTTTTTTGATAACATCAAAATTCTATCTTGATTTTTAGATTAATAAAATCGAAATAAAATTCTCTCTTATATTTGTTATAAACTATACAAAAACAAAACGCGATGAATTTTCTTATTCTAACATAAGATAATATTTAAATAAAAGAAAAACAATATAAACTTTAACCTGTAGAATAAAAACAAAAATGAATTTGATAAACAATTCTATATGTTTATATCATGCATACTAAGTGTGATAGAGTCAGAAAACAAGCGACATAAATAATAAATTTCAAAGTATGTCACCATAACTGAATATATTTATATATTTTCGTATTAGTACCCTTATTGACGTAAGTATCACATATATCTTCGTGTCCTTGAAATTTATATTCATAAAAACATCAGCAGTGTATACTTGTGTCTTATCAGATCATTTGACGTACTCCAGTATATCTTTATCATATTGCGAACTTAGACGAAAGGGCTAAAAATACAATAATAATAGAATATAAAGAAGAAGAAAAAAAAGGGCAAAAGATGAACATTATTTATTTTTAATAGTTTATGCTATGAAATATAATACAATAAAGTGCACTTTGAGATTTAATATACTGCGTCATTTTTTTTCACTTCTTGCCCTTCTACCTAACTTCATCATTCTATATAAAGACATGTAGTAAACTTTAGTCGTTTCGTTATTGTAATTTTATTAAACAGAAAGAGAACAAACCAAAAAAGAAAAAATCTGTGCACAAACTATCGTCACATGATCTTAAATTTTTTATTCGTTCTTCTCGTCTTTTTTCCTTTTCTATTTATGCAGTATGCACTCAGCTGCTGCCTGATTGTATCGCGTTCTCGATATCCTAGGCAAACATGCATACAGGGCCACGTATAAGCAACATCAACGGTGTAGTGGATAATTATGCATCCGTTTTTTTATATGGAAAAAGGGGCGCCAATAGTGATGTACCCTAGACGTAATTATTACAATAATAATAATAAGCGTACACCTATATAAAAAAACAACTGACATTGCATCATGCTTTATTCAGCTTATGACGATTAACAAATCAAATACTTTTCTTTCTCTTTTTCTAGACAAAAAATCAACATTTAAAACTATTCTTATTAATGTTTTTAATATAAATAAAAATGCCTGAAATCATCGGTGATTATCAATACAGTAAACGGGATTTGATTGGACATGGCGCATTTGCAATTGTATTTCTTGGTCGTTTAAGATCGGTAAATAATTGAATATAAAATATTTATTTTTATTTATTCACTAAAAAAACAATTTTAGGATCCTGAACAACAAGTTGCTATAAAACAGATAACAAAAAAACAACTTGCAAAATCACAAAGTTTACTTGAAAAAGAAATTAAAATTCTTAAAGTAAATAAATTTATCGAATATTTATTTTTTAAAATTATATATAAATTTTAGGAATTAACTAAACTTAAACATGAGAATCTAGTTGCATTGTATGACTGCAAAGTAAAATTTTATTTTAAATTATTATTTTTTTGAATTGTTTGTTTTTTTCCTAATTAGGAATCTCAAAATAATGTATATCTTGTTATGGAGGTTAGTTTATTCTTTCAAATAAATATCAATTTATATTTTAATATTAGTTTTGTAATGGTGGCGATCTTGCTGATTATCTTCAAACAAGAAAAACTCTTAGTGAAGATACAATTGCTATATTTTTTCGACAAATAGGTACAATAATTTTAGCAGTTTGATTTAAAACTTTTTATCTTTGTAAATCTTGATTTTAGCTGCAGCAATTCGTGCTTGTCATGAACATAATGTTGTATGTACTAATTTTCTTTTTTGAATACTGTATTTTAATTCTTTTTTTTTTGTTTTATTAAGGTTCATCGAGATTTAAAACCGCAAAATATTCTTTTAGCACATCCAGATAAATCCAATCAACGTGTACAAGATATTATATTAAAAATTGCGGATTTTGGTTTCGCACGATTTTTATCTGATGGCGTTATGGCTGGAACCTTATGTGGTTCTCCAATGTATATGGCACCGGAAGTTATTCGATCATTACAATATGATGGAAAAGCGGATTTATGGTCAATTGGTACAATAATGTATCAATGTTTAACAGGTAAAGCTCCATTTCAAGCACAAACACCACAAGCACTGAAATTATACTATGAAAAAAATGTTAATTTATCACCTGCGTAAGTTTTTATGAATTTAGAAAAATTCTTTCTAGAATCAAAAAATTTCTTATTAGAATTCCACCAACTACATCACCAGAATTAGCTGATTTAATAACACGAATATTAAAACGTAATCCAAAAGAACGTATTGACTATGAAGAATTTTTTAATCATCCATTTTTAAAAAAAAGTAATTTGTGAAAAAACATAAATTTCTTTATTTTATTAATCAATAAAATTTATTTTGTTTAGGTCAACCTGTAAATATATCAAAAGCAAGTAATATGACTATAATCAGTTCATCACCATTACGTGAAGGAATTCTGTCTCAAGGACAAGATTTGGTAAGTTTACATTTAATTAAAAGAAACATTCTAATTAATTCTTTTCAGGATTATTTTATTCCTCGACATATTGACACAATACCTGAAAATGAACCTGATATTGTACCAAATACAATATCGAAATTACAATCAAATAATAATGATAGTCGTTCATCATCACCCGATTCAAATACATCAGGTATTAAAACATTCCTTAAACGTACAGGAAAACAAACAATACCAATTGCAACTAATACATCTGCGCAAAATCGAGAACAAATTACGGTTGAAAAAAATCTTTTTGGAGGTTTGAACTTTTTATATTTAATCACGAGTTATTATTATAAATTTTTTAGATAAACCTATATCCTTTGCTCAACTTCTACAAGATAGACGTATAAATCAAGAAGAACAACCAGTTGGTATCCCGTAAGTCATTTTTGGTTTTTACTAAAATTTAAAATAAAATCATACATTTGCTTTTCAAATAAAGAAATTCAAAAGAATTATCATCATCACCATTGCGTCACGATTATTTTGCATTAACAGCTATTGAAAATACGACTCAAATGAAGGAAACACGAGCTTCCAGTGTTAGTCAACCAATACCTGTACCTACACAAATTCTTAATTATGAAAAAATGCAAGAATCAAGAGATCGAGCTAAAAGTTTCGGTGGAGCATTAGCTGGTAGTCCAAGTAGTAGTCCTAATGATGGTAATAGAATATATATATAGATATTTAAAGATTATCTATTAGCATATTTTGTTTTCTCTTATTGAATAGATCGACGTATATCAATAGATCGTCTTCGTCAAGCAAGTTTTGCTTCATCAAATTCTGATCTTGCTAATTCTATTAGTCCACCAAGTGTACGATTTACAATTGATACAGCAACTCTTACAACAAATCCATTTGGCTTTTCATCAGTAACAAATAAAAAAAGTCAACCAGGATCTGCACGAACAATAACACCTTCAAGTTCCAATTCAAGTCTTAATTATCAATCAAATTCTAAATTAATGCTTGATACATCTCCACTTAAAACACGACCACAATTAGTTGATATAGGTAGAAAATATTCTTTGTTAAATATTATTTTATTAATTTTTATTTTGAATTTTCATAGATACACAACATGATCCTATTTTTGAACAAGAAAATACTATCGATTTTTTTACAAAAAATAATGCTCAAAATACAACTACAGAACTAATTCATAAACGAGTTAATACAATTTTTGGAGATTCACAACCTGAAGGTCATTATTATGAACCACAAAAAATTGTTGCTGATACATTAATGGATGTAAGTCTTTTTATTTTTATTTAACTAATTACTAAGTTTATTTATCTAGAATGAACATCATGATACACTTGGCAAACTTGAATTTATTCTTCAATTAGTTGCATATATTTTAACATTAGCTAGTTCTCGTACAAGTTTATTAACAGAATCAATAAGTTTAAATGATAAAAATATAAATAAAAATTCCCAAGTCAAACCGGATCGACTTAGCCATGTTGATAATTTATATAAACGTGCAGAACAATTAACACTTTATGTTAAAGCAATGCATTTTCTTAGTTCAGCTATGTGTCTTGCACGGTAAGTTAAAATAATTATAACGAAGCATTATTGGGCGATAACAGTGACGATAGAAAAATCTTTTTAATTAAAACAATATAACAATTTATTTTTATTCTTTAGTGATAAACTTAAATCACGTAAATTACATCCAACAGCTATTGTTCGGTAATAAAAAATTTATTTTATTAATTAAAAATAATATTTATTTTTAATAGAACTGCTGTTAATGATTTAAATAATAAATATAAACATTGTTTAATTATGTGTAAACAATTAAGTGCACAACAAGAACTTGTAACAAGTGATGATATGAAAGGTGTTCCTGTAACTGCTGATAAATTACTTTATTTACATGCAATTGACCTATGCTTAACTGCAGCTGGTTCAGAATTTTTTGGTAAAGCCGAAAAAGTAAGCTGTACTGTACTATATATATTAATATAAATAAAATTAATTTTCTGTATTTAAGTGTATTCAACCATATACCGAAGCTCAAATTTTATTTCATAGTTTAAGTCAACAGGTGACAACGGATAATGATCGTTTGATTTTACAACAGTATCGTGAAGCTGTCGAACGACGTTTACATTGCCTTCAAAATCAGGGATTGGTAATGGTTAATGAACCGGCGACAACATTAGATACTGTTTCTTGATATTTCTTTTCTTTCTTTCTTTCTTTTTGCGTGCTTATGTGTGTTTTGATATCTCTAGTCATTTATGTATATAAAACGCGAAAACTTAACATGTTCCTTCTTCTAAAATATGTGATTATGGATTAAAATTCAGTTGAATATGCATTTATTTAGAAAAAAACACACTATTTTTCAATATAAACATAATTATTTATTTTGAATTGTCTTCAGAAAAAATTATTTTTTCTTTTATTCTAACAAATTCCAAGTTGCAGTTTGTATGAATCTGTGAAAAGTAGAATAGCATTGATTATTCATACTGCCAATTTTTTATAGTCGATTTAATTTGATTATGAACACGTTTCAGTTGAGATGTGCTATGTAAACATGTTACTCATTGTATGTTTAAAGATATAGAATAATGATTTGTAAAAGATACTTTATGCTTACTCACAAAATATTAATGAACTATAGTTTCATATGATATATCTTATTTGTATGATAAGTTGAACAGAAATCTTCTTTTTATTTCTGATTTTATCTATATTTTTTTCAAAACAATAATAAAAAAAGGCACATACAGAATATCACTTTTTTGATTGTCTATCAAAAACAAATGATATCTATTCAATATCAATCATCACTATATCAGTTTTTAAATCATCATCATCATCTACTGCCATACTTGCACGCTAAATGAATAATAAAATAAATAATGATGATATTTTATCAAACATTTGATTTACTTGTGCTTCATATAATTGTTCGACTTTTAATGGTGGATCTGATGAACGAGCACTTAAACGATTTTGTGCGAATGAATTTTGATTAGATGAAGGATTTGAGAATGTACTTTATAATTTCGAGGAAAAGAAACATAATAACATATTGAAAGAAGATTTATTTATATTATTTACCTTAATGGTTCATTTCGATATACACCAAGACGTGCAACTTCTGGTGAAACAATAGAATCAAGATCTTGTCTATGAAGTTGATTATTAAGAGATGCTAATGATTTTGATGGACATGGTGGTGTAGGTGCAGGAAGAAATGATGGTATTTTTGATCGATAGATTTCGCGTGAATGTACACGTCGATTTTCTGTTCGATAACGATGAAAACTTGGTAATGATGATCTTTTAAATGAAATTAAAACAAAAGATTAGATAAAATTAGTATATATTTATATATAGTTTACCTTCGATTTCTGCGATTTTTACAAAAAGTACGACAATAACATATGAAAATAATTGTTAATGTCAATGTTAATAAAATTGCAAGTGCAACAAGAAGCCAATAAAAATAAGTAAATGGAATAATATCCGCAAGTTTATTTTGTATAGCACTCAATTCTATATCATCTGTCGTCGATGAAGTTAAATTTACTGATTGTAATGTAGGGACAGTTATTGTTGTTGCTTGATTTATTTCCGATATAAATGGATCTCTTATGAAAGAAGATGATGTTTGCAATGATGATACCTGAGGATGAAGTTGGTGATGATACTGTATGAATTTACGTGCATAAAGATCTTCATATGTGAACATACCGTTGACAGCCATTCTTATATTCTAGTATAGAAATGTTTTTCTTTCTTTTATCAAACAAAACGTACTGAATATATATATACCCTGGAGAGTGTTAAAGAAGAATTCTTTTCTTTACAGTTGATCATATGTCATTTTCTTATTCATATCATAGAATGCACTTGTGAAAATTTACAGAAAATGATTGTTATCTTATTATTACACTTGTGACGAAATATAAAAATTTCCTTTTTGTCTCAACGAATATCCGAAATTTTAATTATTATTTGTCTTAGAATACATTTTGTCTAATAGATTGCATTCTAATAGAGCAGCACAAAAATTAATATGTCCTGTTAAAATCACTTGAAGTCAATATGATAGCATGTATTTATTATAAATCTTTATAAAATATTCTTTATTTTTGAATTATCGTACCGTTTGGAAAGTTAGTGCCTATGTAAGATAAATTGTACTTGAACTTATTCGTTGTTTCGATATTATTTTTAGTTATACAGGAATTAGATCTATTATTATATTACTTTTGCTCGTTTACATGTATTTTTCTTAGTCGCATGAATGTAAACAATTCAAAAACCATCTTATGATTTAATCTTTAGAATTTTTAGGGGATTTATTTTCTCTTCGTTCATGTTGAAAGTTATCCTTATGAAAAATTACGAGTAAGATATGTATTTAGTTAATTTTTCTTTCTTTTTTTTTTATTGTTCGACATAAACAAAAAACAATGTTTAAACAAAATCGGTTTGAAAATTATATGAATCATCATTTGAATTTTTCGATGTTGTTGTTAGTCGAATAATTGAATCTAATGCATCGCCTAGATTCTCCATAGATTTTTCTAATTAAAAAAAATAAATAAAATAAAAAAAATTTGAGTAAAATAAAAAATTTTACCTGTTCTTTTTTTATTCTTTTTCATTTTTTTAAATTCTTGTTGTCGAGTAAGATTTGATCGTTTTATTGATTTTCGAATATCACCATTATATTCTTTATCAACTAAATCAGCTGCTTGTTTTTTTGATAAATGTTTTTTTTTATCATTTGCTTTAACAGTAAAACGAACCTTAAAAGAAAATTCAGAGATCAAAATCGAAAGATTTCTTTTTCATTTCAATACTTTTTTTGGATCTTTTGTTGCTTTTGATTGATCTTTTTCATCATGATCTTCATCCATTTCTTCACCAAGGCTTTCTTCATCATCGGATTTAATAGATTCTTCTTTATCTAAATCCATAGCTGCTTGTGTTGGAATAGATGCTGGTAAAGATATACCACCTATTGGAGTATTACGTAAATCTTTTAATTGTTCATCTTCAGTTTTTAATAAACCATCAATATCAAATGCTTCTTTCATTTGTGTAACAAGTTCAGTACTAAGTATTTCACCTGTACGTTCAGGTGGTTCAGTAAAATAAGTTAGTTTACCATTTGTCCAATCAGATAGTATTCGTTGTGCAGCTTTATTTATATCGGGTATACCACCTTTTTTTAAACTACCCATTTTTAAAGCCATTTTTGAAAGAAATTCATTAACATCTTGAAAATCACTTAGATTGTAGTGAAGCATCATCTATTTAAAAAAAGGGGTTATGTTTCGTTAATTATGAAAAACTAGATGTTTACCTGTTCTTTACTACATCGATTAAGTAATAATTCAATAGGTGGAACTGGATTTTCAATTGTTTCAATCTAAATAATATTTTAGATAAAAATTTGATTATATATAAAACTAGAAAAAACATTTTCTTCAAAAACTTTATTTCATAATGTGATATAAAAAAATATTTTAGAATTAAATTTCTCTTGACGAAATTTAGAAAACCGGATAAAATAAAGTCGGGATGATACATTCTCACTGGGACCCAGTCAGATAGCACTGGTGCATATCTAATCTATGCTGTTTATTAAAGACAAAATAATAGATTTTCACTACTGGCAAATGGTTAGTTTATGAAATTTGAATTATCTTTTGTAATACGTATAGTAAAAATGTTTACTAATAGAATATAATCAATTGTATTTTTTTTAACTTACACGAACACAATTACGAAGTACAAGACTAGCTGGATCAGTATCTTTTGACATAACAATACCGGGACTGTCGAATAGTTTAATTAGTTTATCTAATTTAATTGTTTGCATTTGTCTAAAAAACAGATAAATATTATTAATAACAACAAAAAATAAATTTTTTAAATCTGTTTTTACTTAGTTATACCAGGCATTGAACCAGTTTCACATGCTTGACTTCGTTTAAGACTGTTAATCACACTACTTTTTCCAACATTTGGAAATCCTTAAAATAAATTATTAATTTTAGAAATAAATTTTATCATAAAAAATAAAAATTCATACCAACAATACCAACAGTAATGCTTGTTTTTATATCTTGTTTTCGACAATAATTCGAAAGAAGACTCATTAATGTTGATGCACCAATACATTTATTTGATGATTTAAGTAAATGTTCATCACAAGCTTTTAGAGATGCTTTAACATGACCCTACACAAAAAATAATAAATTTCTATTTAAAAATAAATCTTAATTCATACTAATCGATCACGTTGATTTTGAGTCGATGAACGAAATGCAATTGTTGGAAATTCATTACGTAAATATTTTAACCATTTATCAAGATTATCTCGTGGAATAAGATCTAATAAAATGAATGAATTTAGAAAGGTTTTTTTCATTCCGCATCTTAATAAAACAGATGGTCTATGTATATTTTATTCTAAATGATTTAAGTAGTCAATGAAGTGCTCAAAAGATCCTTGAAAATCGTTTCTTGACAACACTATCTTAAAGAGCATACGATTCTGAATAAAATGAAGGGTCACTGCGTTTCCCATGGCTGACTGCTGAGAACTTAAAAAATTTGGGTTTTAGCACTTCCCACCGATGTTTTGAAAAAGTTCGCTTTTTCTGACTTATATAAATTCTCAGCAGTCAGCCCTAGAAGACGCGGTGAGCCTTCATTTTGCTCAAAATCATATACTCTTTAAGATGGTGTTATCAAGAAATGATTTTCTCAGACTTGAATCATAGAACTCATTGAGGAAACTTATCTACACTGTAGTAGATTTTTGAAAAAAGTTCTAAAAGATATTTCATACCGATTTTATTCAACAATAGAATAAGTTTTTTATTTTTTCCTGAGGTTAACACAGCTTGTTCAACTTGTGGACATCGACATCCAAGTGGATCACGAGCATCGAGAACTTGAATGATGATATCCGATGCATCGACAACCTTTTTAAATTCTCGATAGAATGTTTTTCGAGATCTTTCATCACCTTCACCAGTTTCACTTAATAGGTGAATATGATGATTCTAATATAAATAAAAATACAATCAAATATAAATGAAAAAAATTAAAACAAATTACATTTGTTGAAACGTGTTCATCGTCAAATACATTTCGTCGTCGTTCAACCTCATGCATCATTGATGTTAATGATTTTGGTCGATCAGTTTTCGGTTGTTGACGAGCTAAAGCACGTTCTTGTTTTTTTATTAGTTTTTCTTGTTCTAACTGAAAAACAAACAAATGAAAGAAATAATTTTGAATTAAACTTATATTTTCTAAACAAACTTGTTTTTTAGCTTCCACAGCTTGTTGTAATAATTCATCTTTGAATGGAGCTGAATTTGGTATTTTTATATCTTTTGTTCTCTTTTCTATTTATTTTCGAAAGAAAAAAAATTGTGTAAAAAAAATAGTTTTATTATTTAAAATTACTTTTAAATTCCGGATGTTTTCGTGCTTCTTTTTTCATTTTCTTATTATGACCACGAACTTTCTTCTGGATACTATAACGATGAGCACATGAAACTCGTTTACTTTTTTTAGCTAAATATAAATATATAAATATTTAACAAAACAAAAAATAATTATACATACTTATTTTAACCATGATGTTAGCAACAAATAATCTGAAATGAAAAGTTAGAGTAGAAAATAAAATAAAATCTATGTTTAATACAGTATCGAGTCTAGTAATAGTAACTTCGAAATTTTACCTCCAGATGATTAGAGAATATGAAATACCAATTGAATTAGTTATTATAGTGGTCTACTATTTCTAGTGACCTCTACATTCGAAAGCAAAATACTATTATAGAAATTCAAGATTAAACAGATCTTTCTTTATGAAATATTTTTTGATAGAAATTCTTAAACAATATATTTTTATCAAATAAAATCGTATCATGATAAAATATCACATATTCATGTTAAAAAACAAGTTCACAGTCAGTTTGGAAAACACAAGAAAATTTTATGTCACTATCATATAAAAAAAATTCGATTGATTAATCTCCAATATTAAAGAAATCCTCATCTTCTGTCTTTTGTTGTTCATTTTGATTAGATTCGTTATCGAGTTCATCATCATCATCATCATCATCGAGATTTTTTTTATGAAATACTGCTAAACTCAGATCAACTTCAATTGGAAATATATCAGCTTCTTTCATAATTGCATCACAATTTTTATGATATTTTTCAAGAGCAGTGATAAAACGATGTAATTGAAAGACAATATCTTGAACTGAAAGTAAAAACAAATAAAATCGAAATATATTTTACAAATACAAAATTATAACCATGTTTTTGATCAAGTAATTCTAATTTTACAAGTACATCGGAACGCATCGAAGCAAAACGATCACGAGCTATTTGTCGACAACGAAGAAGTAATCTAAAATAAATAGATAAATATTTTTGTTCAATATCCTAAAAATAAAATTTCTAACCGATATTCATAATTTCCAGTTTCAACACGATAAAGTAATTCTTGTAATGCTGCATAACTATGTTCTTCATCATCCAATTCTTTTACTTTCAAACAATATGACTAAAGAAATCATAATATTAATATGGAATAAGTTACTCTATATAATCTTACTAAATATTCAAATTTAGCATCAGCATATTTTTCAATTGTCAATCGAGTATCAGGAATAGCTTTCGTTAAATATGTATTTAAATCGTTCACCATCTAAAATGATTTGTTAATATTTAAAAAACAAATTTCAATGTTTTATATTACCGGTTTAACGGTTTCAAGTAGTTTTAGGGCGTACAGATCGATTTGTCGATGAGCATTACCGAATTTTGTAAATGCTTCTGATGCTTTAAATTGAGGTTCACGAGCACCAATATTAGCAAATGCATCACCAAAATTACGATGTATACGAGCTAATTCAAATATGCCCTTAAGTACTGAACGTGTATGTTTTATAAGACCACGATATAAATCTGCTGTATGATCAAGTTCATCTAATTTTTTAATTAAACTATCTAAAAAAGAACAAAAAAATTCGAAATAGAATATATAGTTTTTAATTTATTCATACCGTTGCATAAAATAGCACGACTAAAACCTAAAGCATCGGCAGTTGATGAACTCATGGATTCGACTACACGATGTTTAACTTTTTTTTAAAACTAATTAAACAAAAAAAAAATGTAATTTCAAAAATTCGAATAAAATAAAAAATTCAACTTACTAATATCTAATGTTTTTCCTTCTTTTGGATTAGCATGTAATTTATTATAATGAATTCTTACTTCTGACTAGAAAGAAAAAATATTTAAAATAGATGATTTTAATATGATCAAAACAAAATACTTTGGAAGCTTGAATAAGTTTAGCTACTTCAACTTTTGTTCGTCCTTTTACTGATTTATTATTAACAGAAACAATTTCATCTCCTATTCAAATTAATAATTCATACTATAAGTTTATATAATTAATTCTAGATTTCAACCTGCAGCCATTGATCCATCTCTTGATGCAGATGTATTATCAAATATTTGTACAATATATAAACAAGGACAATATGGATAACCACCACCAATACTAATTCCAACTAAATTTTGATCATCTTTTTTTAATACACATGTTCCTGACGTTAATGTCATACCACTAAAATAAATATTAATGAATAAAATAGGATATTATATTATATGATAAACATACAGAGTATCTTCTTCTAAATATTCGAAATCCATTTTGTTTTTTTAATATACAATAAATGATCGATATGTATACCACCATGTCAATAAGAATTAATCATCAAGTATGATCGTTCGTTCAAGGTATATTCGTGTATTGAAAAGAAGATGTCACTGATTGTCGTAATATATACATGTGCTTAAGAATATAAGTGCGATAGTCAAGTGTTTATAATTGAATAGAATCATAACTGATTGCTTATTGTTTTCATACGATATATATCAAATTGTAGATTCAATGAAAAATATATTTTTATTTAAATAATTATTAGAAACGTTACATTTATTACATATAATGATAACACTTATTAAAAGAAGATTAGATTAAATACAATCTGTTTATCATGTAAAATAATTTCTATTTTAAAATTGATATTTTGATTGAGTTTGAGCCACCCGGGCTTTATTAAATAAATAAATTGAACTACATAGATATCTTTTTAAGGATTCTGATGCATATTATGAGAATAATGTAATAGTTGAAAGATTATTTGAATCGTTCTTTATTCCATTTTGTGTAAGAAATTGTATCAATAGAAAAAAGAATTGATTTTTAATGAATGATAAATCGTTATTGATTATATTTGATGAAATTGTTTTTTAGAACTAAAAAAGATTTTCAATTCATATACTGAGTCTATTAAATTGTAAATAATAAAAACCTACTATATATTTGCAGAATTAAATTGATTGAGAGATATTATATGAGTAATTTTTATTGTTATCAAAATTAGTTTAATATATTGTTTGATTTCCTCCATTCGATGGAAGTAAGGATGCACATCCTGTGATGATTAATGTTACAATTACAGCAAAAACTATGAAAACACTACAAAATGATAACACAATCATTTTGTTTACACGCTTGTATTTACTAAAATGAAATAATATTATTGAGAAGTTTTATTAAATAAAATTTCATACCGTCCACGGATTTCTATTGTTCTTTCATCTGTATACTCAATTGGTAGAATCTTTGCTGTCATTACTCTTCACTTCAATAAAATTTACTTAGTGTTACTAGTCAAAACAAATCTAGTATGAGAGAGTAAAAAATACTCATGTACTCTGATATTGTACTCGCGTGTTCTATTAGATTTAACCAGTGAATAGATTTTGTTGTTAGATTATTCTCCAATTTCATACCGGAGTTAGACAATACATTAAACTCCTACATAGAACATTCTTTCGAATTGTATTTCATCGTCTGTCTTGAATAAGCAGGATATATTTTCATTCAATGAGTTTATGAAAGTCATGCTCCTTAATAAAATCACGAACCTGTTGAATCGCATCCATTGTATGAGCACAAAAGAGTTAGCAGATTTTTA